TGTTCTGGCTTTCTAACCATGTGATAAGAGGTCTTAAAAATTCAGCTAAGCTAGTCGATGTGTTTTCCACAGGAATAAACTTTTGAATTGGAAGCAACATAGACAAATCTTTGTACAGTAAACAATGTAATCTAATACGTTATTTGATAGATTAAAACTTTGGCTTTCTATTGGTTATAAATAATACAGTATTAAACAACAGAGAGAACTATTGGCAATTTGTGAAAAAGAGGATGTAACAAGCGGGCGTGGCAAGAGGGGTCCAATTGTCCATTTTATGGATCTGTCACCAAATAAAATTGAAGACTATAAAATTATGCTTTGCCTGAGTAATAACAGTATTATAATGAGCAATTTACATTAAATTCCATACTTTTCAGAGAGTTGGTAAATAAATTACAGAAGAGAGGAAAGCAAATGTCGCAATTCTCATACTAGGGTGAGATTGAGGATTTTAAAAATATTTCCTTATAAAATTAAGAACCTAAGACTTATATAATATTAAAATTTGACTTATTAACTACATTTTTATAAAAGTTTATTTATATATCATAATAATAAAGTTGTTTAACAAAATTTTGAATGTAACTGTCTGAAATGTTGTAACATGCTTACTTTGACCTGCCTGCAGGAACGTCGAGAGCTAGCACAGGCCCCAGGGCAAACATTCTCGCCAGGCCCCCTTTCCCTCTCTCTTTTTTAACATTTTCAAGAATTTATTAAAAAGAAGATCCTAAATTAGGACAGCAACGAGCTCATAAACCAGACAAAATCATAGCAGCAGCCGTTTTTACCTCACAGTATAGGCATAGAAACGTTAATAATGTAACAACAAATATCTATTAAATCTATAAAGTATACCTATTAATTATTACTCAAATTATTATTTCAGTCGTTCTTAATGTATCAAGCTTCTATATGCAAAGAAAAGCCAAAAATTATGGTTTTTATCATTAAATGAAGATATAGCCTAAAGATGCTTTGCAGGCTTTATGGCATAACCAGGTTTCATTCGCCCGAGCCCCTGGGCAGTTGCCCCCCTCCCTGTCAGCGGGCCCGCCTGCCTGTAATGAAAGGGTTAAGTTAGTATAGGTAGAGACATAAGTGGTAGAAAAAGAAGTAAAAATGGGAGTTAATACTAACTCAGGAGCTTGACCAGCCAACCCAAATGAGCAGACTTCAAAAGGAGAAGAAATGTAAGAGCAGATGATGCCTTCCAGAACAAGGCCAGAAGTTACCAAATGTCCATATAGTTGTGGACACAATGATGTAGTCTCTGTGTGGATGCCCTCTGAATGACAAAGAATATTTCTATGAGAAACCCTGTTGGACCCAATGGTTTCCTGTAAAGTGAGTCCACAGGTGGACAAAGTGTAAGAGCCAATCTTCCACAGGAAAAACTGAGGAGTGGTTCCAGAAACAAATGATCACAGAGCTTCAAGATGGCTGGCCTCTTATGAGGAGGGATACTGTGAAGAGCCCCTGGACAAGGAACTCTCCAAAAGGTCTGCATAAAAGAAGGATGTCAAATTGAGTTTCCTGATATAAAATAGAGGGAGTATAACTCCAAAAAACAAAGGATTCAATAAAGCAAATTCCAGAATCAAAAAAAGTGATCTACTCAATAGCTGAAGAACAGGTTAACCCAGTGAACTTAGCAGGGTAATGATGCAGTCTCATACGAAAAGGATAAAGGAAATAACAAGCTAAGAAAATGGGTTAGAAAAACGAGATGATGAGGAGAATGAGAGCAGAAAGGACCTATTATGAGAAGAAGAAAAATCCCCAATCCTAAAATCCTGTAACTTGATTAACAGAATAAATAAGATTAATGGAAGCAAATATAATAATCTTTAACAGAAGCTCTAACTGAAAGTTTAAAATTTCCAAGCTTTCTTTCTTGAAATCATGAAAATTAAAATAAGAAGAATAACACTTTGAATGTTGGCTAACAGTTTAAAATAAAAAGTGCATAATTCATAATAAAAAAACATGATTCACGAGCAGTGCTGAGGATAGAATGATCTTTGGTACACTCAATATCTCAATGTGCTCAAAAGAAAACACTGCACATAGGAGAGCTATAGTTTAACACTGATTGTATCACATTACTACACGTAGGGGTGGAAGTTTCATTCAATGTCTTGGTACGTGTGCAAAATCTTTTTTCACATTGGGTTGAGGTAATAGCTCTCAGTTCTATTAAGAGGTGAATTTCTGAAAACTCTCTGTTCATTAAAAGAGTCATCTTATGTGAAATATAAACAGGTGAAATTTTGAGCAAATACATTATGTCAGACTTTTTCAGGTCATTAAAAGATAAGAAAAATGACAAAAATATAAAATACCACAAAGTTAAATGAGGAACAGAACTAAGCAGTATTAAGAAAATGAAAATGCAGCATTTAACACAGAAGTAGAATGTTAAAAAAGTGAGTAGCAAGACATATTATAAACAATATATATGGAAAGTAATTAGTAAGTCATATCACACAGGTTTAACCTCTTAAAAAAGTGACTAATGAGAAATATTACACAGAATTAATGCAAGTTTAATAAAATAGAATAAATAGTAGTCAAGAAATGAGAAATAAAAAGTTGTTGGAGCCATTTACTTAAATGAAAAATCATTTAAATGTCAAATTGAACAGATAACATTAGCAGAGAAAAACAAGAAACATTTATGAAACATCTTAAAGCTTAAGGAGTGTGGTGACACAGTGAAAAACGGGAGGACCTATTCAGTTTGATTTATGAGCATCTTTACTATATACCTTTGTGTCTTTAAAATTATACTTAAAACTTCAGGTATTAAGAAGGTTTTACATTTATAAGGTCTTAACAGGTTACATCTATATCACTTTTAGGGCAAACTCCTAAAATGTTTACTGAAAGTTATAGAGAGAGCCACTAATGGTGTACACATAGAAGTCTACTGACATGTCAATAAAAACTGTTGGAGTTGGGATACAAGATGTTTAATTATTAAGTTCTAAAATAGGTAAGATAATTTTGGACCACCCTGTACAGAATGTCACACAATAATTTGTTCTGGGTTGCTTGTATATACATATGCTTTCAATGTGAATACATTATAACAAACTGTGTTTATTAGTGAAAATATTCACTGATGAGCTGCTCCTAAATTTATTTAACGAAGACAATGAGAAGACGAAAGTGACTAGGCATGATTAAGATAAGATAAATAGCCAATGTTCCTAACATGATCAAAAACAGAAATGAAAATTACTTGATTATTCTGCTGAATATGGTTATAAATATAAATTAGAAAAGCTTAAGAAACTGACCTAACACAATAGTGTGTTGATGAAAAATAAAATTATTTGTAAATTTACAAAAACAAATTTCTTATATGGAGTAATACACCTGAAGGGGATTATCCATATTCATTATTAAATAATATTAACAACAATTTTATCAGTAAGTAATAATCTGAGTACTAAGATATATTGTTTGTACAAAACACAAATGCTTGCTATATAGAAATAACTTTTCTACCCTTGTTTAACTTAGTACCATTTATACTACTGCTGAACAGTTGTTTTTTTCAGGTTTCCATTTCTAATATTTTTTTAATTTTTGTAGTTCTATGAAAATGCATATGAACCAAATTAGAATTATTTTTAGAACAGTCTAACACTTGATTAATATTTTCTTTTTCCAATTCAACCAGCTAACTAACCCAAGAATTTGGAGAAAATGTTTTAGTTAAAGTTAAAATTCTTTACACATCCTGCTGTATTATTATTACAAATTGGAATTGTATAATTCCAATTATATCATAGTGTTTTTACTTTATAATTCCTCACAAAGTTGTGATATCACAGTTTAGCAGAATAGCTGGAAATACAAACTACTTCAAGCCATCTTTTGACAGTTAGGTTTCTAGATTCATTCTGGCCTTTCAAGAGTTTTTTTTTTTAGCCGATTGGCCATGGAAATGAATTTGTTGAACAATTTCAGCTACACTTTAAACCCATCCAGAACCGTCAAAATTTGGAATCCAGTTTGATACTATTATTAAAAGAAAATGTCTATCTGAACTTAAAGATTATTATTCTACTGTGATTAATTTAGATGTTCTTGTTAAAGGCATAGTTAGTTTTAAAATTACTTCTTTATTTTGTTTCAAGGCATGGTTTATCAATGCAACATACCTTGTCTCTTGGAAGAAGGCCAATAAGTTAGTTTTGATTCATTATTGAATAAAATTCTGAATGTAATCTCACATCATTAAGAATATGAAAATATCTGTCAACTCAATGTGATCATACAATCTGTGGGATAACAAAGAACAATTTGGCCCATACAGGCTATTCTGTTTTCCACTACTAACTTACTACAAACTACATACAGAAGCTCATTTTTCTCCATCCAATCTCCTCTTAAGTTGCAGCTTCTACCACACCTAAAAGCAATATACCATAGGTGAACCTCCTTAATAAAATAATAACACTGCCTTAGTGGGAGTCGTGTCCGAGTTTTCCAGTAATTAAGAAATTTTGCAACACAGTTGAATGTCTTTAAAAAGAAGCCTCAGAAAATAACATCAATACCAATGTCAAGATTACTAGCCTATACCATCCCCTAAGTCTAAATATTAATTACTTTTCTTTTATTACTACACAATTATTACTAATTAGTTTGTATCCTAAGTTTCAGCTATAACTCGCTGCCATCTTCAGGGAAGACCCAAGAAGGACAATGTTTGTGATTGTAGTGGCCAGGATTCAATCCTGGGTCTTCTTGACAGAAATACTTGAGTAGTGTTCAACTCATCTAAAATCTTGTAATTATACAAGCTACTAACCATGATAATAATTGATATCAGATTTCAAGAACCTTACTGTAAGTATCAATACCATTTCAGGGCTACCAACAGGTAGTTTGTCAAATGTGAAAGTTGTTTTTAGAAACAACAAATATTAAAGTGCTATACAATTACAAGTTGTACTTTCTTTCAAGACATTATTACTTACCATTGTATAGTTTTTAGGATAAAATGTATTGTCACTGTTAAATACTTGAATCAAAGCAGTTTTCCCAACAGCAGAGTCTCCTGGAAAGTAAACAGCAAGTAAGAATTAGATTAAAATAATTTGAATCTGCTCTTAAATAACTCCCATAAAAAAAATTAAACAAAAGAACAAATAAGTTTCATTCTTGTTTTATTTATTCTCAACTTCACAGATCATCATAACGTTACAACAGAACTTTTTACTTTTCTGAAAATGTATTTCCAATAGGTACTCATCTCAATACACAGATTAGCTACCTTCATTGCATGCCTGCCTATGAGACTTGCATGCCACTAGCCTTGAGACAACTCTCACCTAATTTCACATGTCTGCACATGAACTGTGCTGGTTCATGAAAATGTCATCATGCGACAAAAGTCCTCCACCAATAGAAAAGTGACACAACATTCATTTGAAGTAATTCCCCCTATATCACTTGTAAGACAAAAAAAAAAACGTGCACCAGAAGTGGGAAGTTAGGTAGGAATGTGTGGGGAGGTTATTATCTATCAGAAATACATTTTCAGGTAAGGAAAGTGTTAACTTCTGAGACAATAACTCAGCTCTTCACACAGTTTAGCTGAAATCCCACACTGAATTGGTGGAGGGGCTAGTATAAAACTTTATTTAGATGAGCTCCCTTCAGAAAGTGCCTAAAGGGAACCCCATGGAGTGTGACACCTGATGTCAGAGGCTCCATTGGGGTGTGCTCATGGCAGACCACATCTCATCTTGACCAGGGTATAATCTTCACCTGGTATGTAAGAGGGAAGAGGCAAATGAGCCCTAAGTGTCACAAAGACAGTCAGGATAAAAACATGACCATCCATGCATTTGAACACAAGCAGTTGGCAAGCCAATACATGTAGTGTGTTTGAGGCACACTCAAATTGAACCTTGTGCACTCACCTCACATTGATTCTACTGAACAGCCTCTTGCTGCAGGAAGAGGGCACTGTGGTTATACAGAATGGTTTCACATAGTATCTGTTTACCTCATCTCAATTGTACAGACATTGGCTGCAGGAGGAGGGTACATCAGGTATGCAATGTGTGCTCACCTCAACTTAACAGGTTTTGGCTGCAGGAGGATGGGTCAAGTTACATGATATGTAGTTTAGAGGGGTGACCCACACTTCACTGACAGTATCACCACCATTCCTCTTCTCACCTGTTGTGCTAAGCCCAACCAATGAGGATTCTCCATGGTCCACTACTCCAGCAGCTAGTAACTGGTAAGTGACAAGGAGCTCCCATACTCCACTCAATGAAAGGAGGGAAAATTTGCATTGGGGACATCTGGAGAAGTGCCCCGATATCAACCAGATCTACAGCCAGAAAAGTCTTTTACTGGAGACTCCAATGGGTGACTGTGAAACCTTATTTTTAAAAGCCAGCAAGTGCAAGCCAAAGTAGTTGGCAGATCACCTCTCTGATGCTGGTTTTTTCCATGATAGTCCATGGTATGGTCTGGATCAGACAATTGAGTAAACATGTATACCACAAGCATATGTCAAGTAGTTTTGTGGAACATCCCATCTTTCAGTAGGCACTGGTGGAGCCAAGGCAGATGGTATGAAAGCTTTCTGTTATCCTCGCTCAATGCAGATTTTGGGTAAATATACCCTGGGAGACAACACCAGCCACTATAACCGAAAAAGGGCTCTGAAAATGAACTTGTACATATTCATCCAAAAATAATAGGATGACTGAAGAATGGCAACCAGTGAAAGCCAAATTCTATCAGAAAATAAAATAACCAGATGGTGAAGAGAATGAGCAACGAACATGTGTGGAGTCATCACATGCCTTCCTGGAGGATCTTGTCCCAGAGCTGGTGAAGATGAGATACAAGAGAATGAGAAAGAGAATGAATTGAAGGTGAGGAAACATGAAACAGCCAGGGAGCATACACATCCAGATACAAAGGTATCAACTGTTGTAGTTGATGGACTTAACAGTATGGATAGAAAGAGAGAGGTGCCTGGAAGAAGAGGAGTCCCAGAGTAGGGACAGATGATGTAGAAAAACTGAAAGGGAGAGGTCTATGATGAGAAACACCAAACAGTCCAAAGAGGACACAGGAGTCAATCTGGGTCCAAATGATCAAAGAGGTGAGAGACAGAATGCAGAGAGGTAGGAGAAAAAGTACCATTACCTTCCCAAGCAGGCAAAGTCTGAGAAAGAAAAGATCAGCCTGGAAAGGAAAGTATATAAGTGCAATGGAAGAGGGTGCAAGAAGCATCCACAGCATAGATAACATAAAGACAGTAATCACACGTGTGAAAGAGGAGGAAATAAGATTGGACAGAAAGACAAAACAAAGGCAAGAAGCCAACTGGTCAATTCAGCCACACATGAAAGTGTGTAAATCCTCACTAAGGCCTTGGTCTGGTATGAAAGTTGGGTGAGGAGGTCAGAGAAAATTGAAGAAGTGTAACACAGTGGGTATTACAAGGAAAAAACCCATTGTGTTACCAGAAAGGCAAAATGTCATGAACAAAGTCACACAACCAGCAAAGGCAAAGACTGAAAAGCTATGGACAAACAGCCAGGTAAAACAGTAGAAAGGTGGTTCACAGTAGGACAGCCAGGAGTAAAGGAAGGGTGGATGAAACAATGATGAAAGACCCACCACATTCGTAGGTAGACAAAAACAGTGCAAGAGTGACAGGAAGTATGCCACAGAGTGAAGAGTCCAGCCCGACAGGCAACAGATGTAACAAATCCCACAAGTGAAAATGAAGAGAAGATATCATACATTGAAAATAAAGAACATGTGAGGGTGAATCAAGAGAGAGGAAATGAAGTAGAGGAAGGGGTATGAATGATAAGCAAAGAAATGGAAGAAACCAAGGCTGAGCTGGCCAAAGAGGCAACGACCATAGGAAGCAATAAAAATTGGTATGTATCAAGCAAGGACCTGAAGGAGGAGACAAGTAGGGAAATAAGCATATAGAAAGAGGTGAGATCAGGCCTGGCTGAGAAATCAACAGCCAGAGCCAGAGAATGAGAAATAGTGGACCAAAAGAGAGGCAACCCAGAGTAGAGAAGGGTGTCAAAGGCATCCATGAGGGGTATGTTCAACCAAGAATAAAAACCCACAAAAGACTTGGGGCACAGAGATCACTCCAGTGATAGAATATGAACTGGACAAGAGAGGCAGTCTACCACCAAGTATTAAGCTCCTGGTAAATGACAGGTAAGAAGTCAAACCTGATGTGAATGGACCCAGAAATGTATATCCAATGCCTGGAAGCAAAGGGTCCTGGAACGAGTGCCTCTCGGACAGTTAATGCATGAAACTACCTACTCTTATCCAGAGATGTACCTCAAGCAGAGAAGGAAGCATCAGTAAAAAGAGAGAGATCTGGTTTGAGGAATGGTAAGGAAATGCCTTTGAAATAAGAGAATGTGGCTGCATGGCTCTAACTTTCTTCATGCTCATTCTTGGTGTTTATCTTGTTTACTTTTTTTCTTTATGAAGTATTCAAGGTACAATTGGAAAAACAAAATGACCAACAAAAGTCAGAAGTAACACAATATATGAACAAGAAAAAAACTATATGATCCTTCAAGGTTGCCCTTGCACACCTACCCTTAAGCAAAGTAAAAATGTAAGACCATCTTTTTGTCAGGAAATCATCCATTCCCCTCTTAAACTTCCATAATGTATTGGTCCCCATTACTTCTAAAAACAACTAATTTTATAACTCAATAATCTTATTCTGAAAATAAAACTGTCTTATATGCAGTGATGTTTCTAAAAATTTTTACTTAGGAGGGGATGGAGCAAAAGAATGACAACAAATTAGATGAGGGGCAGAAGAGGAGTTAAGTTTTATTAAGGTACAAAAGAAGTTGGCTTTTTAAAATCTTAAAAACTAAATCCTAATATCTTATATGGAGGTTGGGAACTGATGGAAGGCAGAGCACTCCAACAGATTAGCAGCCAAAATGCATAATAGAAACAAGTTAGCAGTCAATAGTTAGTGTTAGTAGTAGTAATAAGAATAATAGAAAAACTGGTAAATAGTTGGTAATTATAATTAAGTGATTGTATAGTTTAATAACAATGACAATGATTGAAAGTGAAACTATTACCCATTATATTAAGAAAAAACAACAAACTAATATGAACTTAAAAATCATACACTCCCACAAGACCATGCAGCACTCGACAACTAAACTAGTAATACTATAAAATAATAATTTAGCCTAATTATACCAACATGTATACTTTTTACTCCTTTTTTTTTTGTATTGGTGAATCCCAGCCCAAGTTCAATAAAATAAACATTTTATAAGAAAACAGAACCATAGCCTAGTAATATGCTAACACACTGAGTACAAGATACACTGTCAAAACTGATTTTACATGTAGAAGTACCGAGTAGTAATACTAGTTTTGTAGGACTACTTATACAACTTACCAAGGCTATAGCCTATATTATATACCGTATACAATATGTTGCATTGCTAAATCATCAAATGTTGGCATACGATTAGTACTTACTATCACTAATAGTAATATATCTACTCTTATTCTTTAGCTCCAGTTTTAAGAGTAATCGCTCTTGAAACTGAAACTTGGAAGTTGGAGGCGGACTTAGTATTCAATTCACTGAATTTTAACTGCTGAAGTAGTATACTATTACAACTAGTAATACTAATAATATTAAATAATCTAATACTAATAGTATTACCAATACTAGTTGTAGTACTAAAGTCTAAAGTAACATTACAATTTACTTTGCTATTAATTTTATTTTTACTAAATCTAATCACTAACTTTAATCATAATCACTTTTAGTTTTAAATAATTACCATATTAGTGTTTCTATGTTTCAATTCAAAATATAAAAATGAAATATATATACCAACGACTAAGCATTTTGACCTAAGAATATTTGACATTTTCCCAAACAGAAATTCTTAATTTACTAAACCTTACTAACAGTTTCTAAGCAACAGTACATAATTATTAAACCTGCTGATAAAGGTGGCGCTATAGTAGTGTGGCGCAAAGATCTGTACCTTGCTGAAGCAGAAAAACAACTTTCTGACATTAATTTTTACCATCCGTCAACTAGCGATCCGACTACATCATTTAACTTGAAGATTAAAACCACCATTAACGATTTGATTCTTACAAGAAACTTGCCATCGGATGCTACTAATCTAATTGTTAGTTATCCCAGAACCCAGAATTTTACCTCTTCCCTAAGATTCATAAATCAGGGAGCCCTGGTCGCCCAAATACTTCCGCCTGCAAGTGCTCCACCGAATTAATTTCGTCTTTCCTTGATGACATCCTTAAGCCCATCGTCTCGTTTCTTCTTACTTACATAAAAAACATGACACATGCACTCCGAACTTTCAACAATTTTCAATTCTTTGGTAGTGAACAATATATATTCACCATGGACATACAAACATTCTACACATCAATTCTCCATAACAATGGTATGAAAGCCCTCAAACATTACCTGGATATGCGTTCTTCACTAAATCCCCCCACATATACCCTCTTTCGTCTTGCCGAACTTGTATTAACCCTGAACGGATTTTCCTTTAATGGCAAGTTTTAACAAAAAACAAAAGGTGTTGCTATGGGTACTAAAATGGGTCCTTCTTATGCTTCATTGTTTGTTGGTTACATAGAGAATAGGTTTTATCCATTTATCAAGGAACACTTCTTACTCTTTACAAACGTTATATTGATGACATTGGTGGTGCAACCAGCACAACTTGTGTGACTTAATTCATTTTGTACACTTCGTTTCCTCCTTCCATCCACCGCTTACCTTCACATGGACAGTTTCATCAAAGAGATTACACTTTTTAGACATTCTCGTCTCCATTGAACATTGTCATTTATCGACTCCACTACACTACAAACCCACTAATTCCCATTCTTACCTCCGATACGACTCTTCCCATCCCCATCATACGTTTCAGTCTCTTCCATATTCCCAATGCCTAAGACTGTGCAGACTCTGCAGTGATCAAATTGATTACGAATCGAAATCTCAAGATATGAAAGATTTCTTTATCAGTCGTTTCTACCCCAAGTCTTTATTAGAAAAATCCGCCCAACACGCCCATTCTGTAGCTGGACAATACACCTTAACACCTAAATCCAAATCTACAAACTCTCGAATACCATTTATCTTTACTTACCATCCTAATACCTCTATAGTTGCCCAAATCATCAAACAAAACTTCAACATCCTCACTGACAACCCCATAACTTCCAAAATTTTTAAAGAACCCCCACTTGTCAGTTACAGACACAATAAAAGTATAAAAAACATTCTAGTCCACAGTGTCATCCAGAAATCTAACCCTAGTGTGAACCCGAGTACAGCCTGTTGTCACAGAAGAAATGCGTCACCTGCTAATATGTTAACACCACAACATCCATATCTGGCCCCAATTGGAAATTTCAAATACGACAATCATTCACTTGCATTTCAACAAGCCTGATATACTGTGTATGCTGTAAAAAGTGCAACATGCTATAGGTTGGTCAAACGGGTCGTCGCTTAGTGGATCGTTCACGTAAACAACTTTCTTATATAAGAAATAATGACGCTACAAAACCCACAGGTAGACACTTTAATAACCCTTCACACTGCATGTCCCACTTCTCCATACCTGGACTCACATTTGCTCCATCCACTGTAACTCAAAGAGAACGCCTGGAAAAACGTGTGATTTTTAGATTAGACACTGTTAATCCCTTTGGAATGAATGAAGAGTTCTCTTTCCTTTAACTTTAGCTTTTCCATTTCCCCGCCCTACACCTTTTCTATACTTTCTCACATTGACATTTATTGGATAAAACCTTTTCGTTCAATGTTCCCACTCTTTTTCCTCTCTAGCCCGTTCACTTCAGTCACCCACTTTTGTTATCTTTATATTCCTTCTTTTCACCGTCGTTCTTCACTTCTATTTAGTTCACACACCTTTTATTGTTGTACCCCTTTGAAAAATATTACCCGATGCACGTTTTCATTCATTTTCTTACAATGTTGCCTGTATTTTTGTTCTACGTGTTACGTCTCTGTTCGTTCGTTAATTTTCCGTAAAAATTCTTACCGAAGAAACTTTACCGTTACAAGTCCTTTTTTAATAAAACTGGTTTATTCTTTCTGAATACAACTTTGCGATACACTTAATTTCAACAGTCGCTCTATAACAAACGCTATAATTCACAACGAACTTCTCACGTGCTCAACAATATTCTTACTCATTACCTTGCGTTGTTTCTTGGCCGGTCTTATATATACAAGACTACCCCAATCTAGTTGTCTCCCGACATTTCATGAAGGTTCGAGAAGGAAGTGGCGTGATACAAGCGTCACGTGACCTGCGTTGTCGTAACATACGTTTCCTTTTTGTTGTGTATTTACTACAATTAACATTATTTATAAAAAATGTTATACTTTTATTATTATTATATTATTTTTTATATGTTACTTCCCTTACCTCATTTGTAGCTTCAGAAACATGTTCTCGAGCCTTCGAGTCACATGTTATTTGTTCTTTAAACCTAACCCTTATATTAACAGTTTCATTGTCACTGGTAACCTGATGAAGGGCTGTTGCCCGAAACGTCGTTTTCTTCTTTTATTAATAAAGTAATTTTAATTTGGCGAGTTTTTACCACTACTTTATATTCTATTTTGCATTTTGTTACTTCCTCGCCTACGCAATTATTTTATTTCTTGAACTTCCTTTGTAAAAGTACGTTTATTTTTTTTTATGTTAGTGTAGTGCAGTTAGCTTCACTTGAAAAAAGTGGCCTACAGGTCACCACAGTGTTCAAGCTGATAAAGGTTAAAGTGTAAATAAATTGATTTGTTTTCATGTAAGCGGACTAACCCAGATATTCAATTATTTTCACCAGATAATATAAAAGAACTCACGAAATACCAGTTTTACAAAAGTATATTTACCTCTGAACAATAAAAAAAACCTATGTTTGAGCCTGATTGATTCTCACATAGAGTAATAACCGCATATAGGCTACATTTCAATACAAATATTAATAATAATAAAAACGTTGGAGGTTGTCCATGAGTATTATGAGCTATACATATTAGGTCGTCAAGAAATTAATGTCGCGTTTTTATATGTAAATACCTGAACGACTTATATATCAAAACAAAACATTTACTAAGTGAAATAGTCTCCATTTTTATCGATGCTGCTTTTTCATTTTACAATCAGGTTGTTAATGCCCCAATTAAAGAAATCACTTGGCTTTGAAGCCAAAAACATGTCGATGTCCTATTTAACACCTTCCACATATGCATACGTTTTCCCATTAAGATGGTGTTGTAGCGAAAGAAAAAGATGGTAATCTGATGGTGCCATATCTGTAGAATATGGTGGGTGGGTGAGAACTTCCCAACCCAACTCCATAATTTTATGTTGCGTCAAGCGTGCCACATGTGGACTTGCACACTTTTCCGATTGATGTGTGTTTGTTTGTTTTGAATTTCGCGCAAAGCTACACGAGGGCTATCTGCGCTAGCCGCCCCTAATTTAG